TCAAAATTAAAAGCGTATAATAATCTTCTTTAACAATTGAAAAGTAACTTTGGTGAAGCAATGTTTTCACCAAATTGTTCCCTAATCGAGCAAGTTTACCGAAAAAGGCTTTCGCCCCGCTTTATAGATAAAGCAAACCGCCAGAGAGCACACATACAGAATCAAGTCCACACACACGCACACACCCAAGTCTCACGATCAAGTACAAAGGTTCTGCTGAGGGCACAGCTCAACAAGCCCAGAAATAAAAAAGGACAGAACACGCCGGACGAAGATGTCGCCTAGTCTGGCTCCGGCGGAGGCGGCGGGGGCGGCGGCGACAGGCGAACGGCCATCGATCGGGGGTCGGCGATGAAGGCTGAGATGGCGTCGCGGTCCAGGGGGCGGCTAAGCGGCCGCCAAAGCTGCAAGAAACCCGAGAGTTTGAAGAGAGCGTCAGTAGACCGACGAAGAGGAGTGCGCTGAATCACTAGCTTATTGCGGACAGTCCAGAGGGTCCAGGCGAGGACCCCAATCTCAAGCCACCTAATGTAGCAAGAAGTCGCGGGGGACATCTGGAGTTCGGCAAATAAGTCCGGGAAGTTGGTGTGGCACCAATCTCCACCGACCGCTTCGCGAAAACAGCTCCAGAGGAACTGAGCGGAAATGCAGGAGAAGAAAATGTGGTTCGAGTCTTCAGGAACCCCACAGAGCGGGCATATGCCAGTACCCGGGCCATTGCGCTTGCGCACCTCCACCCCGGACGGGATCCGACCGCGAATCCACTGTGACATGAAGATGCGGATCTTCAGAGGCAGGCGGATGGACCAAACCATCGAAAGAGGGAGGGGGGCGGCAGATGGGGCGATGGCCAGGTATAGCGACTTGGTGGAGAATTGGCCCGAAGGCTCAAGGCGCCATCGCACCAGGTCAGGGCCACCATCCACCAACGGTTCGTGGAGAGCAACACAGTCAAGCAACTCACACCAGGCGGCGGATTCCATGGGGCCAAAGGCCCGCCGGAAAGCAAGGCGCCCTAAGTCAAGAAGGGCCCTATCAACAGAAATCACGGGGTCGACGGAGATGGAGAAGAGGCCAGGGAAGCGAGCCGCGAAGGGGGTGTCTCCGGCCCAACGATCAAACCAGAACAGCGTCGAAGCTCTAGAGCCCACCGAGATGGAGGTCCCGATACGGACAACCGGAAGAAGCTGGACGATCGACTGCCAGAACTGAGAGCCTCCAGACTTTTGGCTAAAAGCGAGTGGCTGTCCGCGCAAGTATTTGTTCCGGATGATGTCTTAACCACTTCAAATTTATAGGGGCGAGTTTTACCCAAAAGTATGATGCCACAAAATTGATTGACAAACCTGCAATCCAAACTACTCCCTCCGTTCCAAAATAGATGACCCAATTTTGTACTAAAGTTAGTTCAAAGTTGAGTCATCTATTTTGGAACGGAGGGAGTATCACCTACCATTCCATTTTCGAAACATGACATCATTTTTTAGAACAAAAACATGTCATCATTTCAGTCTTAAATTATATAGAGATTAAGATGAAGCTCCACAATAGTCATTAAATGAGCCTCGCAGTTCTTAAGGTAGCTAATCCCATTAATCAGTTATCCATAAATCTTTAGTTTGTCTTGAGATAATAGCAGGAATTAAATGTGCCGTATGCTCCTATATATTACAGCACATGAGCTTGGACCAAGTCCTTCTAAGACAGTATCAGCTTCCCCCTTGAGAACACTTTCAGGTACTTTAACATGTAAAATCATGTGTTTTTACCTGATTGTACAGATGGAAAATGTTAGTTTTAATTGGTTTCTTGTCTGTCTTTCATTCAAACCAGGAGTTAAGAGCATACGTCTCAGCCATTTCCTGGCCCAACCTTCTTCTATTAATAGAACAACTGAGCCCGTCAGGTACAACAATGGAAGTTTCATATTCTGTCATTTTCCCATCCTTTTTTGCCAACATACTAGATTCTCCACTCTACTTTCATTGAACAGAATTTTTGTCTCTACCTGGAACGTCGGTGGGAAAGCACCTACTGCTGAACTGAACATGGATGATTTTGTTCCACCTGATGATCGTTCAGATATTTATGTGTTGGGGTAGGTCTTGCACTGATCTTTTAATAGATACAGGAATATTCCCTGCCAACATTACTAATTACACTGCCTGTGTTATATATACCCCCCCCCTCCCCACACACACACATAATGTTTAATGCATGAATATTAATTTTCTCATCTACAGGATTCAATGCATAGCTGAAAAAGTTAAAAGTAATCCTTGATTGGTGTGGTAGTAGAATATCATTAACATGTTTAGTATTTGTATTCAGCGCAATTAATCCTGGATTCCTGGTTTACTTTTGAGTTTCAAGAGTATTTAGTGGATTTTTTCCCTTTAACATTGATCTCCATGACATCAATTCTGTCTATTTAATCTTTGAACAGTTTTCAGGAAATTGTTCCTCTCAATGCTGGTAATGTGCTTGTGATAGAAGACAATGAACCAGCTGCAAGGTGGCTTGTTCTTATAAACCAAGCACTAAACCGGCCAGCTGATAATGATACCAATGTCTTTCAGCATCCGACATCTCCATCTGTTGATTCTACTTCATCTCGAGCTTCTTCAAGCCTTGACACTTCATTCTCTGAATTAACAAAAACAGCAAGTGGTTCCACAATCTTCCAGAAATCTTCCCTCAAAGCCATTAGAAAACCTTTCATGCCAATGCAGAGAAAACGGCTTAAGGCCTGCAACTGCCCAGCAGAAATGATCAAATCATCGTACAGGGATGCTTGCTTTCGGCGCCCGAAAAAACATGCTGGCGAGACTGATTCCTCAGGAGAGGAAGAGAAAGAGAACACGAGGGATTCTTGCGGCTCTGTGCTAAGTGAAGTAACTTCCGCTCCCACCGCAAGGGATCAGCTAAAATATAACCTCATAGTATGCAAACAAATGGTTGGAATTTTTGTCACTGTGTGGGTAAAGAAAGAACTAGTGCAACACATCGGCCATCTAAGAACGTCTTGCATAGGGCGAGGAATTCTGGGCTGTCTTGGAAACAAGGTCAGGACTAAATCAGATTGAAGTATTGCTGTAACTAATTGTCTGTATCCTGAATACACTTCTACTGCAGGGATGTATATCAGTAAGCATGACAGTGCACCAGACAAGCTTTTGTTTCATCTGCAGCCATTTGGCTTCAGGTCAGAAAGAAGGGGACGAATTCAGAAGAAACTCTGATGTTCTAGAGATAATGCGGCTCACACTGTTTTCGAGGCTTTGCAGGAGAATTGGGCGAAGAATTCCTGAGAAAATTCTTGAGCATGAGTAAGAATCTGGTGATATATATGATTGTACATCTGTCCCTTGTCAGTTTAATATTCTGTAACTAATTAATGCACTGTTTATCTCAGTAAGGTGATATGGTTTGGGGATTTGAACTACCGTATTGCACTGAGCTATGAAGATACAAAAAGGCTTTTGACGGAAAATAATTGGGATGCCCTTTTCGAAAAGGATCAGGTAACTTTGTATTAGTTGAATCAATCTAGTTATGAATCAAAATTTGAACTACTCACTGAAAGACGGCAAACAAATGCATTTATTATCTGTTTGCTAAAAAGTTGGTACTACTCCCTCCGTCCGGAAATACTTGTCATTAAAATGGCTAAAAGGGGATGCATCTAGACGTCTTTTAGTTCGAGATACATCTCTTTTTGTCCATTTTAATGACAAGTATTTTCGGACGGAGGGAGTACTAAAGAAATCCGAAAAGGTGATATCAAATCTTTCAAATGATTCCCTTATTGCGCCCAAACCATAGTTGTCCACTTCTGCAAATTTTCCGTTCCTTGATATTCAGTATGTTCATTCTTCAGCTAAAAATTGAACGAGATGCCGGACGAGTGTTCAGGGGATGGAATGAGGGGAAGATATATTTTGCTCCCACATACAAGTACTCCTCTAACTCGGATGCATATGCTGGTGAGACTGCAACATCAAACAAAAAGAGGAGAACGCCAGCATGGTATGTAACTATGTACAATTTTAAGTAGTTCCATATCAAGGAAGCCCTGTCTGGGGAATAGAGAAAGCGTAATGTCATAATATTCCATTCAGCTGTTGCTGTAGGCACAAACTTAAGGCCTTCTTTATTTTCATGCCATCTTAAATCCTAGCGGCTGTTCATTCCACCATAAGGTAAACATAGAAATCTTCCTAAGAGTTTTTTTTAGGGAACATGCACAAAAGCTTTGCGTATCTTTTCGTTAAGCATGCGAATTGACAAGAGTCAAATGTACAATATATCCTAAACGGCTCGACAATTGGCTATTGTTCCACACTTCTACTGGGAAGTCACAAAGAACCCACCAAAAAAAAGTTCAAAAGTCCTATTGGTTGCAATCCCACAAATCAAACACCCCACTTAAGAAAAATTCCGAAGGAGTAGAATCCTAGAAAAACTCTTTGAAATCGAACCAAAGAGGCCCGAGCATGCAGTCTAACATTACCATTGGCGTTCACTGCAAGTGGCAATAGCTCTCTAAGTACTTCCATGCAAAAGTAAATAAGTAAAATAAATGCCGCACACAGTAGTTCTGATATACATACAATAAGCTAACGTATTAAAGTTCCAGTTTGTGATATTATGCTTGTGAACCATTCGGCGCTCGACGCATTCCATTGCATACATCTTAAGTAATTGAACTTCTTCAGGTGTGATAGAATATTGTGGCAAGGTGACGGCACTTCACAGTTGTCCTACTACCGTGGAGAGTCCCGATTTTCAGATCATCGTCCTGTCTGTGGAACCTTCATTGTCGAAGTTGAGGCACTAAACAGAAAGACAAAGAGGCGCTCATCTAATGCTGACATGAAAATCGGTGCTGAAGAGCTTTTACCAACGGACAAGAATAAGGGTAAAGGTACTGCACTTCTTCACACACAGTGGTCATTTTCTAATCTTTCATATCCCAAATTTTGGCCTAGAACAGGTGTGTATGTCAAGGCCAATACAAAGTGACGATATCCCATTGTGGCTTCCTGTTAGGTAACAACAATGGAATCGAATAAACATGATGCATTGTTGTTTAACTACAGAAGTTCTATTGCATTTTCTCATAAGATACATAGAACCATCTTAAGAGTCGAGCTTAAGTATATTTTCAACCCATAATCGGTCATACCCCACACGCACTTTAGCCCTGGACTCATACAGAAGACTGAAGTATGTCCCTGCTTCCATTTTGCAGGCACATCACGGAGTGTGAGCTTCCACAAATAACACAATAATGTGCATGCCAGTTCTACAAAGAAAAACGTATATGCATCACGTTGTCAAGAATCGTGCATAGATTTGTTTGGATGACGGTTAAAAACCGGCCTGATGCTCCTGTTTCAAACAGGGCAACAGACTCTGGAAGTGGAAGGATAATGTCTAGTTTTCATTCCATTTTTTCCCAACGCAGTCCAAAAGAAAAAATATAAGTCTCCTTTTAAAGGAGGTGATTTGGTTATATACCTGATGATAGGATTAAACCAGCCAATATTCTTTGGTCTGTAATTTTTCCAGTTGTAAGTATAATTGTACTATGACAAGATGAAGCAACAAATTTCTTTTGACGGCAATTTTTTAACAAGCCACGAGCATTTTGAAATGCGCATAATGTTCTTTTGTTCTTTCTACCGATTTCACAGCACTGTGTCTTGCAACTGTGTACTCTTATTTCAAAAGACAGATAGAGTTAGGTAATAGAAATGCACATAGATGGATGGATTCATAATGTATTACCCATATACTAGTATGAAGCTGGAGCATGCTACACCATTACTTCCCCCCTCTTCTTAAACTTGACCATGAGATCATTCTTCATCTGCAGAAGAACCGGCACACTGGGATTCGTCATGTGCCTCTCCAACACCTCCAGATCAAAGTTCCACACCATGGTGGCGGCGATGCTGTTACCTGAGCAACCACGATGTTCTTGTTAAGGCATGACCTTGGGCCCATGTTGAAACATAACTTGTAAGATGGATGCACGATGACTCGATGACATCCTCTGAGATCCATTCTTCCCATGACGTAGATCGAGATCAGAATGGTCAGATCTCATATGGTGGCAACTAGATTGGGTATGTGTCCTTCGTCGCTCCCCGCCGCCATCTACTTCACCTCGTTGACCCTAACACTCTTAATATAGCATGTGGCCTGGTTATATGTCAATTGAATGGTTTGACATCTTCAGTTGGTAGAGCTACAGATTCTTTGCATCTCTTCGTACCACTGTCCACATCACCCCAATGATCCTAAGTTCCTAACTCTTGTTACCGAACAGTAGCAAGTGTGACTTGCGGAATATCAATGATAGCAAGTGTGAATTGCGGAATATAAAGGGAATAAGAGACAACCAATGTATTTCCTCGAATTCAAATACCACCTATATCC